GGCTCATCAGGTAGGCGCAGTCCCCGGGTTTCCGTCAACCTTATGTTCTACTTGAAACCAAATTGCACGAAGTTAGAGAATATACACTCATTTGCAAACCAATTTGGTCCTTTCGAGAGACTCACCTGGAACCCAGCTGAATCTCTCGTTTATGATGTTCTCAGGCAACTGATGAGCCCCAAGAAGGGCGAAACCGGTCGTAGGCTGTCGATGGATTTTCAGCAACCTTATGAGTAGTACATTACAAAGGTATACATGTATCGCGATATTTCAAATATCGTGGCGACTGAAACATGAGGCGACCTGGTGCAGCACATTCAGTTGCCTGAGAACATCATAAACGAGAGGTTCAGCTGGGTTCCAGGTGAGTCTCTCGAAAGAACCAAATTAGTTTGCAGATGAGTGTATATTCGCTAGAGACGTTTCTCTCTTTTCTCTCATATTCTCCTGTCACCCTTTCGCATTCGTCGCTTGCAGTCACTTTTTGTGTTTGTGACCACGCTCTTCAAAAATAAACGACACTGTACTAGACCACAACAAGATTCATATTAACGCAAAGGCTAGGAGATAACCTGTGATACCATAATTTCGCCCATAGAGTCCAAATTTTTGTTTAGAAAAAACTGATTCAATAAACAGGCCCTCCGAGTTTTACCCTAAAATCCTGATGACTGCACAGGTTAGCTTAACCAGAACTCTAGACGGCAGTGATGTGCGGAATTTCAGCAATAGTGCTGCACCTATTAGGTTTATTCGTTTTTATTCAGCTGCAGCTGTTATGAAAAAATGTCTACTTAAAAAACACCCATAAGTTTTACGAGGCTTTGGAAACAGCAGTATCTGAACCTCGTTTTAGCGAGAAAAAGCATCACCATTAATCAGTGGGATATATATTTTAAGCACGTAACTACTTCCTCGTTGTCGGGACAAGTGGGCAAGTTCATGTAAACTTCCTCTAGCTTATCTTTGGGGACAAGGCACTCTCTGAATGATAGTCACGTGACTAGGCTCGTGTACAGATAAATCGATGGTAAGGCATGATTGACCAATGTGCGGACCAATCAACATAATGCCTGTGATATCTGCCCATATTAGCAGATGAACCAGGCTTAACAAGATACACTCAGACGTTACAGATATGCACGTAGATTGTGACCAAATGCGGAAAGATTTTACGTACACGTTGACCAGGGATTTCCCCCCTCCTCTCTGAGTTTCCTCTGTAATGATTTTGTTCTTGTCTCCTAAATTAAAAAACGCTTGTAGAACCAAGCCATTTATTCTACAGGTCTTTTGCTCTACTCAGCTAATCGATTAACGACCGAGTCAAGAAACCGAGTTCCACTCTTACCACACTGTTCAGACATTCACTCTTTATTACAAACATCTTCTAGATGAAACTTTTCCTCAGACACACAGCTCTTGTACATGGAGTTATTTTCCTTTCTTACGGAAATGGCTTCTAAGAAACGGCTGGAAAACGCTGCCTTTAGTCTCGTCTGTTTCGAATGATGAACAGTCAACCTGCACATGAGCCATTTTCTCTTTGGAATTGTATGATTCGCTACACTCGACCTCGTTTCGTTGATTAAACTGAGAAGAAAGGGTATTACGTCACTGATGATCATGACGATGATGACCATGATCATGATTCTCAGCTGTAATAACCGCGTGTTTGTCTCACAGTGGTTGTAGCTGCCACAGTTTCGCTCACCGATGATTTGGGGAACGGGGGTAGGTGGCTGCGCATTGGAGGCGGGAGCTGATAAATTAGTGCGTCCACTGTAAGTGGACTGTTAAATGGGGTAATTGGGAAAGGAGCTATGCATTGAAGGCAATAGCTTTGATGCAGGAGCGCCATTGAGGGCGCGACTGGGCCATGACTGACAATGTCTCTAACCATTGATGTGGGCCATCTCGGGGTCCCCATCCAGGAAGACGGCAATGACCAGCGCAGCTGAGTTTGCTCGTAATGACCTTTATACTTCGCTGCCAAGTCATTGTTTGACCGCCTCTGGCTCTCTTCCCCCCTTCACGTGGTTGTGCGAAAAGAGCCCTTCGAGGAAGTCGGTCGACTGGCATACGCAGCACGTGGCCAAACCAGCGCAACCTGTGCAGTGTGATCAGTTCATCTATCGAGGATGAGTTATTTCTCCCGAATACCATTCGACGAACTTCAGCATTGCTGATCCGGTGTTCCCACCGGATTCGGGCAATGCTCCGAAGACATCGATGGTCAAACACTGAAAGTCTTTTGACGTCCTTGGCGCGCAGCCGCCAGGTTTCTGATCCATGTAGTGATATTGAGCACACTGCAGTATTGTAAACTCGACCCTTGACAGAGAAGCTGATATTATGCCTAGGCCACAGGTGACGCAGGTTCACAAAAGTTGCTCTGGCCTTCCCAATCCAGATGGAAATATCATCTTTCACGAGACCCCTGTGGCCGCCACGGCTGCAGAATTAGAAAAAGTTGTCTACTACCTCAATCCGTTCATCTCCAAGCATGTGGCTAGGGTTCGAGCCCACCCAGTCTTGCAGTAGCACTATACACTTTCACTGGGACCCAACAAAACTACAACACAACTACAGTGCAATCAAAAAGAGGACAACCCTTGTGCATGATATGCAAAATAGCGTAAAACCCCCCGTGCATAGTTTTACATAATAATCTTACGATACTACCAACAGTATGTCGATGTTCCGTCATTGGAGACATACCGCTATATTGTTGTAAGGCACAACTAATGAGAATAGTATAGCGACATTAACATCTGCCATTAAATTTTAGGGGAAATTCTGCAGTTAGTTCAGAGCCCAACTGCGCCCCAGCTACCCGAGTTCGAAGGTCTAGAATCCCATATTTGACGTCAATACGAACAGCTCAGTAGTATCTTGACCGGCCCTTCACCAAGAACTACCATTCTGCCGACCACCTCACACTGTTTAGCAACAGTCTTATGATGTCTGGTTTGGAATATTCAATCTGATAAACTTGCAAAATTTACTTCAAAGCAGGATGAACCACACAGGATTCTACAATATGCCTGTACCTTGCATGAGATGTAAATGCCTTTGTCAGTAGGATATTACTCCAAAAGTAGTAACACTGCAGACCTTACGTCACCAAATGCAACAGTTGCCCTGGAATATACCCAACAGCGCATACCACCGTTCTGATTGAGCAAGCAGGTATCGGCTACGTGAGTCACTTTTTAGGTTTGGAAGTTGTTCGCGTGGACTTTATGCCAAGAAGGGTCGATGCGAAGATTCTTCGTCAGCCATGACCTAACTTGCATCCCTCCCTCCGAAGAAAGGCCACAGGATCCTTACTGCTTTTAAATGCTACCTTATTTGAAATGGTGTGCATTTTCCTGGATGGAATACGTTTATGAATCTGTTTTTGGAAGTGACACAAACAGAGTCCGCCTCTCGTGATAAATTCTTCCAGCTTGTTCCACAGTCTCGGAGTCCCCTTTAACCCTATGCTCTGCTGGAAACCAAATTGTACGACAGTCGCGCAATTTCATCATTTGCCAACCAAGTTGGTTTTACCGATACACTGATCCGAATCCCAACCGAATCTCCCGTTCACTGTGTCGCGCTGATCATAGGATTCATGAGGGTTCACCAGATGTGACTTGAGCTTGAGCACCGGTTCGGACGGAGGTGCTGCTAAGCCCCATTCGGGGGTTACTTCAGAGGGGACTCGTCTGAACCTAGGCTGAATTTCTGTTTACTCTCCATTTATGCAGCTTAACGTGAAGCAGAAACTCATTTGATTTTTTGGGGTAGTGATCAAAATGGCGAAGCATTCAAATTCATAGTACAATGCTTATGAGGTTGACAAAAATAACCACCGTTCTCACCCTATTTTTTAGTTGTAGGTCCGTAAAATCCACTCGTTTTATTCTCCAAATTGACATGAAGTGTGAATTTCAGCGGCTATTCGCAGATTAATTTGGTGTTATTTTTTTAATTTTTGACAAGGTGGAAAGTCCTGGAGGCGAGATGGCTCAGTGGTTAGAGCGCGTATTCGCTGACCGGAAGGTCCGTGGTTCGAATCCGACCTCTGCCTCTCGACTTCCCCTGTCTAGGCTTGGGCGACCTGGCAGTATCCCAGCCCTCGTGCTTCTTTCGGGTGGCATGGCAGCTAAGTACCGAAGGGTTGTTACAGCTGAACGATGAACGATTATTTATCCGATAACCTCGGCGCATAAAAAGCCAACAGATTCACAAGATAACAATCTTACCATGCTCTCTCTGTTATTGATCAGCTGGCAGTTAATCTATTCACCGAGCTTGGCAATTGGCTCGCAAATGTTCCGCACCGTCAACTGGTTGTTTGAGGTGGGATAAACCCTCCACTTGTGCTCAAAGTTAGTTTGTCAAAGGGAGTTAGCAACTGTTTCTTGGAGATTGCCTGACACTTAATTTGACTGGTCCATTTAAGATATCTGTGTCTAATCAAACAAATTACCATGCTCCTTTAAAACTCTATCAAGCGATATTTCTTGCTGATTATCATTTTATTTAAAGACACGCATCTAAGCACAACGCCTGCAACTGTGAATTTGGCAGCTGGACACCCAGACGAATAATAAGTCGTTTATATGTAACACTTTTTCGATGCCCAGGTGCCATGACACCCCAACATGGGGACGAAAGCTGAGATGGTGTCAGGTTGCCCAAGCGTGGACGAGAGCAGTAGAGATGCCAGGGTTGGATTCGAACCTTTGAACTTCCAGTCGGTAAACTCGCACCTGAACCCCTGAGCCGCCCGAGCTCGGACGCCCGCACAGTAAGTTTTAACTGCGTTGTTCACGGGATGCCACATTACCAGTCCGCATTAATGTTTGCACTTGTTTCTGACCCAACAAAATAAATGAATAAGGTAATATCAAAAAAGTAAAAAAAAAGGAATAGAACAAAAACCAAAACAAACCCTCACTAAGCCCCAAAGATCCGGTTTACTTTGCAGTCTTCAGTGTCCGCTCAGTATGTGTGACTCGTGTTTTCTGTCAACTGCATACCATCCGTCTTATACCAATGGAAACCTTCGAGAAATACACTCATTTGCAAATCAATTTGTTTTTCACGAGAGACTCAACCGAATCTCTCGTTTATGATGCCCTCCAACTGAATGTGCTGCATTCAGGCCGCCTCATGATTCAGTTGGCACGATAGTCGAGATATCGCAGTGTATTTTCATAAAGGAAACTACTCACAAGGTTACTGAAAACTCTTCGACAGCTCCCGACTTATTTCGCCCTTGTAGGGTCTCATCAGGTAGGCGCAATCCCCGAGTTTCAGTCAAACTTATGTTCTACTTCAACCATAATTGGACTGTTTTCGAGAAATACACTCATTCGCCCCAAGAAGGGCGAGACCGGTCGTGGGTTGTCGAAGAGTTTTCAGCAACCTAGTGAGTAGTTTCCTTTATGAAAATCGAAAACTTCCTTGGGTTTCGATTCACCTCAAGTGATCTGGGTTTCCTTCTCCATTACCCACATAGCTTCTTGGAGAGGTGGTGTTAAAGAGATATCGGTATGAGGCCCCTGTAAACAAGATGCTATCTTCAAATATGTTAAGATGTCAAGCATTCAACCTAATTGCTTCAAGTGCGCATTTAAATTGTACAGAGTCAAACTTTCTGAACCCGCTCCATCGGAACCCCTCGCTAATGAAAGCACATATAGAGGATAAAAAACTTCCATTTGTGGTGCTTTGCATCCAAAAACTATCTTATAATCAGATGCTTGGTAACGACCAGTGTATTTATTCTAAGCCAATTTGAAGCCGGGCACAAAGGATAAACAGTTAGTTGATTTTCCAGTCAGTCAAACAGGAAACCTTGCCTTCCAGACTGTTGCGAGTCCAGATTATGAAGAGGTGTGTGTTCAGGGAACACCGAGAACTTGGTGCACCCGTCCTTCAGCACGATATCGGTTTCTAATAAAAAAATAAAAATAATAGAACTAGTACCGGTTGGAGGGGATCCTGCGGAATCTATCGCAGCCATTGTTCAGATAACCTGGCAAAATTGGGGACTGATTTCATCGCGCAATCACTGATTCGGGATGTTCTAGTCATTGACGGTTATGTAATCGTACATCTCCGTTCACGCCCTAACTCCTTTTTGCCAGAAATTGCCATGTTTCTCGGGCCGACTCGGAAGAACCATTTATAAGTCTTCCATATACTGCAACCGTTTTCGTACCTCACCCTCTTCATACGCCAGTCCATTCTACCTGGCTGACGAGGCGTGGGTTGGTGTGGATTACAACTTTACCAAAGTTTTCCGATCTGGATATCTGAATATAACCTTTTGTGAAGTCTCCACCGCATCGTTTTAGTCACCCAATTTTTTGCACGACAGTTCGCAATACGACGGTTCCTGATGGAACTATGTTTTTGGGGGTTGGTAGAAAGTCTAGAGTGTTTAAAAGGTGGAATTAAATATGCTAGGGGCATTCAAGATCCTTTTTTTGAAAGAAATGATTTCACCTTCCTAACACTGAAGATTTCCACCTTTTAATAACCAGACGGGAAACAAGAGACTTATCTCTTCCCCTCTCATGACGCTCGATTGGAGTGAAACTTGTCAACATGTTCGAGTAATGAAACAGCTTTTCGTTCGCTTTTCATATGAAACCTGAAAGTGTGTGTGTTAAACGATAGCCGGGATATGACACACCGATACTCGTTCCCACCGAATCTCTCAAAACCGGAAACCCAATGTCCATGATTCAACCGCGAATCAACTAAATAAAATGATCTTCAACACAAACAGTTGCAGAAAGTCGTTTAGATTTATGGGGGGATTTCACTAGTTTGGGTTAAATTACGGTCTATACCAAATTGACCTTACCTTATACAGTGCTGAACAGTGTGATTGCTGGCAGAGGTCATTCGGGAGTCTAATCTGCTCACCATAGTATGTGATACGCTCAGATCTTGCTGATCTCACGATAAAAGCAACAAGCGTTGGCGCATTTCTGCATCAAACACTCAGTTGTTCAGCGATCGTCAAAAATTCTGATGCAGCCCGCTACTGGCGTGGTGGTGTATACTACTCACGAATTATGCAAGTAGTGCGGTTTCCGAGGCCCACCGTGCATCTGATGGAGGATTAAGGTTATCACAGAAATGACAGAATGTCTTCGAGGCGTTCGTTTATTATTGCTTAATATTCAAAGAACTATCAGGAAAATTCTAGAGCACATCTAAGAAAGTTCACTTTTCAAAAACTCTGCACGGATGAAATTTAGTGGCCTGTAACTCCGTAATTCGTGTTTGCGAATAAACAACATAGCAGCGAGGGCGCTCCTTCTTTCATTGTAGCGAATGCAATTTTGCCTGTGCTATTGCTGCTTAGGGGTTACTTCAAGGGAAAGGTCCGCAAGTGTGCCTCTGTATATGACGATTAGCGCACATTTCGTGTCTGCGTTCCGGGCGTCTAACAACGCTGGATTGGTGAACAAAAATGTAGACTTCACTACTGCCTCCCGGAAAAAAAACAAATAAACGAATAAATAAGCCTGGAAACATCAAAACCGAGAGATTCAGCTGGGTTCCAGATGAGTCTCTCGAAAGAACCAAATTAGTTTGCAAATGAGTGTATATTCGCTAATTTCGTGCAATTTGATTTCAAGTAGAATAGAAGGTTGACGGAAACCCAGGGACTGCGCCTACCTGATGAGCTGCAAGAAGGGCGAAACCGGTCGTGGGCTGTCGATGGATTTTCAGCAACCTCATGAGTAGTGCATTACAAAAACAAGCAGATCACTTATTTTGCCACGTTTGCTAACCGAAAGTAGTTCAATTGTGTCCTGCTCCCCTTTTTTTCTCATTTTGCCTACTGATCCACGCGGTTCTGGAGGAGGACGCAAACTACTTTTTTCGCCGCCGAACACAGTCATCTTTTATGAGAGTATTAGAATTAGCTTAGTGCAGAGCGGTGACCCAGTTATGCAGTCAACCAATCCCTTGCTTATCAGCTCAACTCCACTGAAAAGCTTTGGCTACATTGTGTAAACTATCCATCGCTGGTGTTCAGAAAAGGAGTAATTAACTGAAACATTGGAATACAAAGAAAAAGCACCACGTGAGTACGAACTACTAGTATTTTCAGTTAGCTCAAACACTGCAGCTGCTTCGATCTTGTTGTGGGATATCTGGAGGACAAAACTGTTTGCTGGCTGGTTGGAGAATATGCTTCGCTTGGTTATCGTGCAGTCCACAACAGGCGTTAATTTTGCTCTGAGAGGGACGCAAAATGAAGAGCAGACAATGAAGGGTCGGAGAGAAAAACTTTTGGTTGGACAAGACATTGGTATGCCTTTTCACTCATTTTAACCGTTCACAAATGAGCCTCTGCTTATAGACGTTCGATAGGATGTGCGAATGGTTTTTAGTGACCCCTCTCGTTCTGAGTAGCGGTCAGCTTTGACAAGTCGCCTTATGGCCTTCATTAGAAGGCCATACATTTAGCAACGTGCTCCACTTTCTCGACGTTTGCCTTGGCTGTGTTGGCATACCTCTTACTATAACTGTTGACAGTGGTTGCTAAAAGCGTCCACGTTGCTCACGCAGTTTCGACTGCAGACTCAAGTCGTAAAGGGACAGTCGTTGGCTTCCTAGTTCACGTTAGAACAGAATGGGATGAACGCAACGAGATATTGATTGATGCAAGTTTTCTCGCTGTGCCTCAATACTCGAATAAATTGGGTTCCGACCGGGCATTTCAGCATTGAAAAAACCTCATATTCGTACGTAAAAAGGGAACTGGAAGTGGGAAATACGTTCAACTGCGTCATCGCTGTCCGCTGCCTAATAAGGCAGTCATGCTGTTTTCATAACTTTCCACACGTACACAGCCTGGGAGTGAGTCGGGAGCTGAATATCTCGGTTAGCATAATTATTCGTCCATTGACTGGAGCCCAGTCCGCGTGTCATGAGACTAGTAGGGAATGAGCTTAAATTTTGACCAACTTTTGTAAAAACAGAGGTGACTAGAATTAAAAATTTCAGGAAAGTTTTTGTCTCGGTTGTCAGTGGATTAAACCGGATGGCTAAACTCATAATTTCATTGCCAGTACACCGGATTGTCATTGAAATCGGTTTCCTGTCGTGTATTTCAGTCAAACGAAAGCGATTCTGGTCGGTTGAATTCCATTCTAGTTCGTGACGTAACCCTCCCCTGAGAAACTAAATTTTGTGAGCAACTCTCATTGCTTGCCGCTTTTCGTCTGTATGGGGAGGGGGGAATGTACGTCACAGTCAAAATTTCCACACCAAGCCTCGCAACCACCCGTCAACCCAGGAGAATGGAACTTTCACCCTACCAGATCAAATCCTAAAGGATGTACCGGGAATATTGAAATGTCTCGAGCCCTTTCCCGGACGGAGTTTTGTCCACATGGCTACACATTACACACTACTAGTAGTAATTAGACTATTTCTTTGTGGAAAATACCTTCGGATGATACAAAAATTCCACTTGGACACGGTTTTCTCTCCTGAAGCATGATCAATAGGAAATCGTCACAAGCTTGTTACACTGACTTAATAATGTTTCATTTGTATCCGAGTGTTTTGAACGTGTTGGCTGTTGAGCGGCGAACAAGTTGGACTGACATCCACTTTCAGTACTGGTATGTCATATCTAGCGAAGCTGATGAAGCACAACAGCCGCCCATACACAGAGCTGTTCATACCCTGCACCAGGTGCAAACCCGAAAGAGCAGGAGAGAGCAGCTTTAAATAGATCAACATGTCAAACGGGCCCATATTCGTCGGCTCATATTGGGACGGGTGAACAGTTGAGGCCCCTTGCATGCAAAAGATGATCAACTAACAAGTGCCACTCATAAGATGAACCGAAAAGATACACTTATGGCTAACCATGGTTCAACCTGGTCCGATGACTACATAAAATCACCTCAAGCCACCAAGAACCATAGGCCTAACACTCTGAAATAGAGAAGGATTTGTATGTGAAGTACGGAGGATATGGCCCCTGCTTTACCACTGCGGAATGGTCGGGTTTTCCCCTTCCACTGATATAAGCGCCCCGGATCCGTTGTAGAACGCCACTACCGTCAAATGTCTGATTCGACTGCCAAATTTTCTCATCTTCAACGAACTCCACAGCGAACTGCAACCAATCTAAGGGGTGATAGCCTTGCGTCCAACACAAGTAGGGAGAGTATGCTCGGTTCTATCGCGATTCTGGTGGTCTAGTGCCATCGGAAGCCTATACAGATAAGAGCAAATCCAGAACCGATGTATACTGTCCTCGCCCATGGTTGTTGTACCGGGTCTTCCGCGAACGAAGCCATGCTGTTTCATAATGACAGCGCACGACCACACCTGTCAGGTTCTGTATACCCAGGGGGCTTCAATTAAACAAGGGGACATTTCATCAGCCCAAAAATTGGATAGATTAGAACGACTTCCTCCTCTGAACTTGGGTGTAATTATCCCGTGTTTCCACAGCATTAGTTGAGACCGATTCGTGAGAGTTCGCCTGATAATTTCGGACATCTATCTCAAAGGAGCGCTGATTCCCGACTCCACTTTTATTTTCACCTTCTGTGGTAAGAGGAGGGGTTTGCCCCAAGGGGTCTTGAACACTCGATTAGAGATGTGCAATAAGTTTTCAAGGTACTGGCAGCTTCTGATGAAGTGAGTGAGATACTGGTGTGTGTGTGTTGTTAGCAGGGCATCTGTGTTCATCCTAGGTGATCACACAACGAGCGCACAGGATTTTACAAACGTTGGTACATCGCCAATCGTTGTCTTGAATGTTCTGTTGGAAGGAAGATGCGTCTTGCTCTGTGATGTTGTGTTGAAAATTTTCAGTTTACTTTGTAGGCTTGTGAAGAGCCGAAGTAGTAAGGCCCTCTGGAGTAGAACGGAAAGTGCGGGCTGCCGAGTATGTGGACTTAACTCACGATTAGTGACGGGAAGATTGGCTACGAAATTCAAGTCAAAAGGGGCTGTGGAACTGGGTTGCCGTTGGTTACATACTACTGAAAGAGTAATGATATTGTGAGAAGCAAGACCGTTTCTGGCCAGGCTCTGAATAGGACGGTTTTGTGTGCAAACTCCACAGATGTATCTATCCCCTTCTACCGCGTACACCCGGCAACTGATTGCTTGAACCTTTGCACACACAGCAGTTCATCCAATGTCATCTACATCAAGAGATGTCGCAAACCGACCAGAGATCCGTAGTCGGCTCATTTTCACCCGATGCTGAAGAACCTCGACACTGGCGTCTTGTGCTTGCATCATAAGCCAGGTTGTTTATCACATATTATGAAGAAAAATCTGCACCAAAATGTTCAGTATGAGGCTTCTAGATCACTTTTTCTTTGACACAACCGCGATTATGAGCAACCAAGGTTAGGGAACACAATGTGTGTGTATAACATAGGTTGAGTGTTCTCTGTTGAGGGTTTCCCACTTTAAAAGGGATTCAGTGGTATAGAGTGAGCTCATCTCGTTTGTAGACAAAACCCAAAACACAAACAAAGTAAACAAGCCGACTGGAACAAAAGAATAGAATTACTGAAGTGAAGGGATTTAATGAACCGCTCAGACGCAAGGGAATCAGACCACAACGCAATACAAATTCTAAGCGAATTAATCAACTTACTTGTAAGCTGATCCTTAAAAGACCAGTGGAGTTAAATAATCTAGAAATAGATGATCTGGAAAATAGATAAACGCAAGTGGCAATGCGGGACCTACCCAAACAGTCGCGCAATGACGGTGTCTGTTCGTATCGTGACGAAACGCTCGCAAGCCAGTTGCTAGGCTCGGGGAACAGATGCATCTGATCAGCAACTAAGTCTCCCTAAATGGGTTTCAAAGAAAACAGATTCACAAATATATTCAAATTAATTTCCGAATTCATACTGAGCAGCTGCAGGCGGTTGCAGGATTTATAGAATTCACGTTCCCATCACTCTCCTTTGAACGGTTTTTGTCCTGTCCAAAGTGCGAGTATCACTGGACTCGAGTTTCGATCTTATTGGAGTTTATCACGCTTGCCTCACATGTCAGACGTTCGAACGCCATACTTGACAAGCCTCCCCCAATATGATCTGGACTCAGGACAGAAGAAGAACTGTTAATGGTGTGAGGAGATTTGGGACTTTTGGTGGAGACTTCGTCCTGTGGGTGAATCCAGTCTGCGCTGAAAAGCCGAGAAGCACTGTATAACTGTTTCATCCTTATTCGGAATTGTCAGCGGTGCGCACCACAAGAAATTCCAAAATGTCTCGAAAATGTGACCTTCCGGCTGCAAGTTTGAACTCATAACTGCTCGGCACGAATGATACGTCAAAATGGATTCACTTACTGAGTACCTGATTGGTACTTCGAACATCAGGTCAGTAGCACACAGGAGCATCTGGTTCATCCACCACCAGCCCCACCACCAAGTTATTTTGTCATTTGTAGCGGTAGATGAAATGCTGTTGATCACATTTTGTTCATTTATGCGTGTAACTTGCTCCGAAACAGAGTATTTCATTTTTCCTCCTGGACGCCAAGCGAGCACTCGCTCTAAATAAACGACAAGACCAAGTATCTCAGGCTTGTCATTCGGTCCAATTTCGGACACGGCAGGCTTTCACATTCTCTCAGCTTATCGTCTCTCGCTACCTTACCTCCAGTTCTAGAAACATGCACTCAATCCCATCTCTCCGGAGAACTTAAGAGATTTTCGCTCGAAATCTCTCCAGATAGTTTCGGCAACTGTGACACAACCAAAGTTGATCTCTAGAGTATGTAACTCTCAGAGAGCGAAGGACTTCCACGTCGCATAAATTACTCCGTCCCAGAAGTGCAACCCACCGTTTACCGGGATTTCAGCTAACCCGGTGATTTCCGCACCCACATCTTATCATGTTTTCATCGCTATTGCAAGCCCATGTCCCGCGGGAATTATGTAAATCGCTTTAATGATAAATATAGATCCTCACGTGATAATGCAGCGGGATAAACCTACAAATATTCAGAACGACCTCACACCGTTGATAGGATATTGCTTCTTGTGGGAATCCAAATCTATTTCGTCCTCAGATTTCAGTCTTCACATTTCCAGGCCTCGGAACGATTCCAGTGTATCGTGAAGTAAAGTGAATAAAAATGAAGCCTTGTAAAATGGCAAAATAATTATAGCGTTTAGTAAAAGAACGTGCGTGGTAACTAAGTGAAATGTTAGAACAATAAAAAGTAAAAAAAAATACATCAGAGCTTGTTTCTGGGAGCGAACAAAGATTCTCGGACGATATGATTTCCTATTGGTCGCATTTGAAGTGAAGCAAGATTCAACGAGTGAGCTGGGCATAGACTGTCTGGGAGAGCACCGGTTCGATAAGCTGGAACTCGGTAGGTGACACACCGGCAAACACAAACGCATCTTTTCGCTCGTTCTACGTGTATGAGAACTCCGCGTTTTTTTTTCAAGCTTCACCAAGCCATCTTCCTCTGTATATCACTAGAAAAATTAACATCACTTTTCTCGAGAAATACACTAATTTGTAAATAAATTTGGTTTCCAGGGGAGACTCAACTGAATCTCTCGCTTATGGTATTCTACAACTGGATGTGCTGCACACAGGCCGCCTCATGATTCAGTTGGCACGATGTTCCAGATATCGCAGTATATTTTCATGAAGGAGACTACTCACAAGGTTGCTGAAAACTCTTCGAAAGCCCACGACCGTTTCGCCCTTCCGCTTGGGTCTCGTCAGGTAGGCGCAGTCCCCGAGTTTCCGTCAACCTTATATTCTACTTGAACGAGAGATTCAGTGGAGTCTTTCGTGAAAACTAAATTGGTTTGCAAATTAGTGGATTTCTCGAAAACAGTCCAATTTGGGCTGCCGGAGAGTTTCAGCAACTTGTGAGTAGTTTCCTTCATGAAGTTGAGTTGTGTTGAAACTTGCGAATTAGTCCGAATGTCCAGCACATCAGCTTCGGTGACTCGACCATGTGTTACGCATAGTTTATCAAGACGAGAACTGTTCTCCACTCCCAATTTCGAATGACGCAAATTGTGGGGTGGAGGACTCATGACCATGGGAGAGTGTCCTGGAAGAAATCACGATGAGTATTGGTGTAATTATCAAGACGAGAACTGTTCTCCACTCCCGATTTCGAATGACGCAAACTGTGGGGTGGAGGACTCATGACCTTGGCAGAGTGTCCTGGAAGAAATTACGATGAGTATTGGTGTAGTCTTTCCTTCCAGGATGGGGTCTCCGTTACCCCCTCCCTGAGCTTGGCATGAAATATCGCACAAGAGCTTACCGCTAATCGAGGTCAGTAACGTTTGTGTTGTTAACTTCTTTCCAGATTGCGCTTAGAAGTTTGGGAACCTCAGATTGCCTGTGGTGGATTAACACTGTATTATCCTTTTTCACTTTGGGGGTCTAAATGCAATAACGAAAGCCCTGTTGTTTTACGTCAGTTGAGCATCACTGTCCACGCGGATATTGCTTTCTCTGTAGTTGTTCGTTGATGTAGTTGCTGACGAATTTTACCAAAGATCTAGGGCTTAACGTGAACCACACATTGCTGATGATCTTACCGTATTGATTAACCGCTTTGTCCTGACGGTCTCGTTTTACCTTCTTGCAATAAATTCCACAGTAAATGCCGCATACGACAGATGCTTTGTTTAATCAGTCTTCCGACGATTTGTTTTCCTTGAAATCGTGTATTTATCCATCCAACAGCGACGTCCCAGTCGGGATGAACTCATTTAGGGCTGCCGAAAGACTATACCTAAGTGCTGAATGGAAGTCAGCATTCCTTGATCTGAAGCGGCGTATTTTTCACTCCCCTTCGTTTCTTGTTATCCTTTCCGTTGGTAACTGCTTCCAACTAAACTGTGCTCGGAACTTGCGGGAAATCGGGCGACATTTGTTCAAAGACCTTCAGCTCTGTATGACCACTCTTCATTTTTAAACAATCGTAGTATGGTCAGCATTTTCCGCGCGTAACTGCGCGCAAAGAATTATTGTCCATACATCCATCTGCCTTGAGCAGTGTACAATGTACCAACACGTTCGAAACACTCCCCTTCCGTCCCGATGCTTTTATTCCGGTTAGTCAACACCGAAGAGGGAAACTCTTCGCCAGACCCGAGTTTCGGTCTTACTAGAGTTTATCAGCTGCGCGTAATCTTGACCGCATGGGGAATTGAACCCAAGAATTGTCTCTAATCCATCTAAATTAGCTGTGATATGGTCCAAAATAGCAATTGGACTTGGTCCATTATCTTCTTTGAGTGGAACTCAGCATAACCAAATGCTATGTATGCAGTGGTTGATTTTGACACTGATTTTCAAAACTCACCAAACTCCAACTTTCATAGGAAGAGAATAGACGATGATATTCAATCAATTGGAAAATGTTTGGGACCGATTGGGAAGTCATCGTCTGGTAAACAATAAATCCACCGATTGTATACCAAACCCCTCTGAGACCATGATATTGTTACGCTGTGACCACAGATACGGGCTTCGTGTTGGACTGTGACACTGATGCTTCACTGGCGTACAACCATAAGGTTCGTCTAAAACCCTGGAGTGAAAAGAAGAGAGAAAGGGTGTGTGAGGGAGGGGACCTAGTGCTGGTCTATGTCAGGCATTCTGAGGTGCGTGCAACTCCAACCGCTCAATCAGACAATTTGGAAAGAAACTGACAGCACGGGCGCCACTGAAATCGATTAGCCGCCATTTCTTGCAACGTCTCCAGCCAAGCACAGGCGTGGTCACGGGGACCCCATCCTGGAGGGCGCACAAAACCAAAACCCTTCGTGATCTCTTTCACGCCTTTCTGCCAAGTCATGTGTTGTCCACCTAGCGGTTTGCGCCATCCTGAAGGAGGCAAGGAGAACAACACTGGTCTCGGTAGACGGTGTTCCGGCATGCGTAGTACATGGCCGAGCCATCGTAGTCGACGATGCTGGATGTTTTCTCGGATTGAAGTACCTGCCGCACAACCAAATACCCGTTTTCTAATCACCTCGTGACGCCATCCAAAACCAGTCACGCTTCTGAAGCATCGGTAGTCGAGAACCCGAAGACGCCTCACATCATCCGCAGAGGCCACGTCTCGGACCCATACAACAACACTGTTGTATTGTGACATGAAAAAATCAATCGCATCACACTGAGCCTTTCCATGCGTTTCTTCCGGTCCTCACAAACGCAACTTACAACAGCACGTCTCTTTGCCAAACGCATGATCGGACAATCAATATTGCTCTATATCGGAAGCCTTGGAGTTCTTCTACATAAGATCGCAACCAAATGCAGATCACAGCGAACTTCGTTCCATCCATCCGCCTAACATTAACTCCAACTTTGCCCATAATTCTATTCCCACTTGTCTCCAGGGTAGCTGAGACAACTGTATTGTTTACCTTGGCCATATTCTATTTAGACAATGTGTAGCTCTGCTCCCTCTAAATGTCATCATGTTGCACCGGTGATTCACGAAATGACTCAGTGCGTAACCCAGACGTCTAAAGGGGGCGAGAAAGGTCCTCCTCGCCCCCCCCCCACCCGCACCTTCGTTCGGTCAACCAACTAGACTTTTTACAGTACAATCACTTTTGATGAGTCATGTGATGCCTGTGCGACAAACGACTGTTGCTTTGATACAGTTGGATTGGATGAATTCTAGCCCACACTTGTTAAGGCCGGTAGAGTGAATGCTAGTCAGACGAAGATGACATTGCGAATGAAATATTACATGTGTTGGTGCGGCGACTATCTGGAGAACTTGTGCCACAAGGGATGGTATCCACCCACCAAGACAAACCATTTGTTATCATTTATCTTCTGGCACAGCGGCAGTCATAACGGAGCAACAATGGGTAAATTAACAAGAGACTGAATTGGTTCGTGTCCCAACTGGGACAAGCCTCGAAACCCTGTTTCAGAAGGGTTAGGTAAACAATCGGTTGTTTTGTAACTGGGCAACGTTTCACTTTTGACAGAAAAGCTTCGTCAGGCCAAGTGAGCAGGTCACTAAGCTGGCCACTTTTTAAGACTAACGGGGAACCAATCAGTAAGACGTCTTCATATTAGAGTAATAGATCAATGTGTCAATTAACGGCTCTTGTCGGTTAGCGTGGTTGCCAAAATCTTACACTGATGGTTTGGGTGAGTTTCAAATTAGTTCCGATAGGCATTTTGCACTACTCATAAGGTTGCTGACAGCCGACGACCGGTTTCGCCCTCCTTGGGGCTCTTCGGGTAAGCGCAGTCCTCCGAGTTTCCGTCAACCTTATATTCTACTTCGAAACCAAATTGCACAAAATTAGCGAAACAAACAAATTTGGTTTTGCGACAGACTCACCTGGAACCCGGCTGAATCTCTCATTTGTGATGTTCGGATTTGTAATCGGGTTTGGTTCGTTAATCTTCTACTTCAGAGTGCTTCAATCGATGATTCATTGGAGGTGTCACCGGTAGATTTTCCTTGGTCTTCGTGGGCTTGTGAGTGTTGCGACAATTTAGTTGGGGGGAGGGGAGGTGGGTAAGGTCAAGTCGAGTTCAGATAATGACTACTTCTCCTTCTGATGACCGCACAACAACGCGTGTTAGCTCGACTGATCCAAGACCGTTCTCACCACGCTTGCCAGTTTCACGCCTTCTATTCTGTTAACACTGGGATGCTTGACGATTTCTACCACCTCGGCGATCAGTCTGTGTGACGTAGACCCTAGTCCTCGCCTCAAAACCTCAACTTTTTCTAAACCTATTTTGTATTCCGTGTCCAATGCATGTTCCGCAATTGCAGTCTTTCACCAACGCTCGATATTCATCTGCGTTTCTCGGCGGCCTGTTGATTTTCCTTCTATGCTCTCCGATTCTGATGTGAAGTTCTTTAGCTGTCTGTTCTATACAGACCTTGGAACAGTTGTCACACTTAATTTTTATAGACTCAGTCCCTTGTTTTGTTTTGCAGGAGAAGATCCTTTAGTTGCACCAGTGCAGAGCTCAGAGTGTTTCCCCTCTCGAAAGCTACTCTAATGTTAGCCGTGTTTAGAATTCTTCGAATGACCTCCGATGTCCCTGGCTTATATGGACTAACAGCAGTCCAAATCCACTCCCTGTTGGGTTTCGCTTGATCAATATCAAGCGTTACTGAAGGGCTCATCAACAGTGGAACACACACTGGACACGGAAGACAAAACAGATTTAGAGAAGTTACCGTTTCATCTTAGAAACAGATTAGTCATTTACGATAGCCTCCTTCCTGCTGTGAAGCGTAGTAGGTGCTCTTTTCACGAGCTCACCAGCCCGGTGAGTGCCATTCACCAACTGCTATTGTAGAGGCGACAACACCCAGACAGTCCTTCTAGGTTCCTGTGGCTGTGTTGGAGTAAAACTCCGACTAAAACAAACTGAAAATGTGAAAAACAAGGATCAGCAAACTACACTTGCTTGAAAGTTGAATGATTGTTAACGGGAGACTCAAGTGAATCCCGGCTGAAGCCCTCGTATGTGATGTTCTTCAACTAAATGTGTCACACAAAATCCACTTAATTTTTCAGTTGCTAGACGCTGCAGTGTATTTTCACATAGGCTCATCGAAAAGTACACCACAGCTCAC